ATCCAGCCTACGTGTCACCCCCTCAAAGTATACATTCACAAGACCGTCACCAGAAAATTGCTTCTTTATAGTTTCCTCCGCCAGTTCGCCACAGATCTCCCATTTTCCTCATTTACTCTTTTCTCACTCACTCTCTCTGGACTCACTTCTTTCACTCACACACTGAGGAAAGTTTGTTTATGTCAACCGGCCGGAGCTCACCACACACACACACACACACACACACACACACACACACACACACACACACACACACACACACACACACACACACACACACACACACACACACACACACACCCCTAGGGGTGTTCTGTTCCAGTGCCCTCAGGTCCTGTCAACACCTCCTACACTCTGTCCTTCATTGTGAGTTTATTTTGTTATGTGTCACTCTAGATGTCGTAACCTTACTACCTCTCTACCTCTCTACCTCCTACCTCTCTACCTCCTACCTCTCTACCTCCTACCTCCTTCCTCTCTACCTCATTTGATGAAGAATATTATATTATCTTCACAGTATTCGTTCTGTCTCTCTGTCTGTCTGTCTGTCTGTCTGTCTCTCTGTCTGTCTGTCTGTCTGTCTGTCTCTGTTTTTCCTTCATTCTGTACATCTAACATCCTTTACTCTCGATTATCACCAATGCGTTTTCCGGGAAGCATTGGTGTGTGTGTGTGTGTGTTCATGAATTACTTGCCACCATCATCATCATTCTCTCTCTCTCTCTCTCTCTCTCTCATCCTTCACACATCCTATTTATAACACTGTCTTGTCCTTCATACAGATACTTAAGGACGAAAGGTAGACAGTCTTACTATTTCACATCTGCTCTTTCACCCAAACAGACGTAAGAGCACCGTGCATATAACACAGTCTTCCGCCTCTGCATATACCACCACATACGGTCTAAAATCCCGGCAGTCAAGTGTAGAATTCTAGCCATCACGTCACCACGGCAAAGCGCGATAGAGCTCCTTTTTGCCCCAAGAACACACAAACCTCTGTATCTAAAGTCGAAAGTCCTGAAATCACAGTCAAGAATTTCCGACCTTATGTACGGAGGTAAAGTCCGATATAACCCCATCTGGCCTCACGTACACTAACATACCATCACATAGAGTCGGAAATTCCGAGACTTCACTATAGAATTCTCGTCCTTACACACCAATGCAAAGCTGCGGGCACCAGCAGGTCGGGCCATTGCTGTCAAGCGTGTGAGAGACGGCCAGGGCTACACTGTCTCACTATCTCGACGTCTCGTGACAGATGCGAGATGGAACAGAAAACGTCTCGATGAAGCTCCGTTTTTTGATAGCTTGGCGAGAAGAGGGAGGGGGGGGGAGGAGGAGGAAGAGGATAGAGAGATGGAAGAGGGAAGGGGGAAGGGGTGACGGTGGATGTTGTGGTCACTTAGAATAGGGAGAGAGGGAGGGAGGGAGGGAGGGAAGGAGGGAGGGAGGTGGAGAACCATCAGCTGTTTCTGTGTTTACGTTGTGCTCACTTATAACGGGCTAAAGAGGCATCAGTTAATTGTCTCATGTTTACACCCGGTAATTTATGGGGGAGGGATACGAGAGGGGAGGAGGGAGAGGGGGTTTAATCAGCTGGTTTCGTGTTGATGTAGTAGTAATACACGATGGGATAACCTCAGTCAATCGTGTGTGTGTGTGTGTGTACCTGCCATTCTTCCGACCACCTTTGTTTACGTTCATCCTACTCTTACCCGCATCCCGTCGCCGACACTTGACTGATCACCTTAAGCCGTAGCGTCTGAAATCTGCCAAGGCGTCTAGCGACCCACGGGCCGCCTCAATTTACGAGAGTCTCTGTATGCGCTGACGTTCCTCGCTAGACCACCACGACTGATGGCCCAGCGAGAGAGTTTTGGGGGAGACTTCGTGTGTGTGTGTGTGTGTGTGTGTGTACTGTCTAATAACACAGGTCTCAATATAACAACAGCAACAACAAGTCTCACATTAACAGGTTGTTTTTGAGATTCTCAGTTTGTAAATTTTCAGTATTTTCCAATAATAAATTCCCGTCGTTGTAAATATACAAAAAAATATATATAAAAAATAAAGACAAAATCAACATAAAAGGATTCCCATTTGTGAGATTCATTTCACATATTTTTTTGGGTTATCTTTTCGATCGATTCGGGTTTACAGATAACAAAGACGGATACAACAGACGGATCAGTAGATAAATTGATGAAAGGACCAATATTTCCCCCTCCTCCCCCCCCACCCCCCTATTTTATCTAAGGTTTCTTCACGTGTAGAAATATTTGTCATCACGCCACCACCATCCCTGATACACGTCTTCCCGCTGTCACCCACCAACCTCTTCACTCTCTTGGCCGCGTGAAGGGGAAAAGAAAAACATATAAGGTTTCTTGTGCGAGTTAATACATGGAGGGTTTGACAGGTTAACCAGGGAGAAGTACGATGGCGATGGGACTGTTCGTGGTGGAACTATTGACCGCCGCGGAAGTGATGAATATTGCTTTATTGGTGCTGGTGTGTGTGTGTGTGTGTGTGTGTGTGTGTGTGTGTGTGTGTGTGTGTGTGTGTGTGTGTGTGTGTGTGTGTGTGTGTGTGTGTGTGTGTGTGTGTGTGTGTGTGTGTGTGTGTGTGTTGCTCTCGGTCTTACGTTGGTCTTCGTGGTGAGGTTTACTTTAAATCTTTTCCTTCCATCGGCTCATGTCTTGGTGCTGGTAACACTGGCAGGTATGATGCAAATCTCAGGATGTCGTCAGCAAAATGAAGGTGATTTAATTAGGCCAGGTGACCAGATGGTCCCGTGGTTACAGGTGGTGTTGGTCAGAGTTGGCCCTCGTGGTGGCCACAGCTGGCTAAACTGTTGTGGTCACAGGCAGCGTTGACCACAGCTGGCTAAGCTCTTGTGGTCACAGGTGGCGGTGACCACAGCTGGCTAAGCTCTTGTGGTCACAGGTGGCGGTGACCACAGCTGGCTAAGCTCTTGTGGTCACAGGTGGCGGTGACCACAGCTGGCTAAGCTCTTGTGGTCACGGTGGCCACAGCTGGCTAAACTGTTGTGGTCACAGGCAGCGTTGACCACAGCTGGCTAAGCTCTTGTGGTCACAGGTGGCGGTGACCACAGCTGGCTAAGCTCTTGTGGTCACAGGTGGCGGTGACCACAGCTGGCTAAGCTCTTGTGGTCACAGGTGGCGGTGACCACAGCTGGCTAAGCTCTTGTGGTCACAGGTGGCTAAACTCCTGGAGGGTGGGGGATGAGGGGAGGGGGATGAGGAAGGGGAGGGGTAGGGGATGGTTGGGGTCACAGGCGGCGTTGACATTACATCAGTGAGAGAGATAATGCAGGTAAACTTGGCCCATTATTCAGGTATATTACACACACCAACATGACGCACTAAACTATAAGGCTAAATCACTGCCTAATTACGCCCACCTTCTAACTTAATTTGGGCGGCGTGGCTCGAGGCGCCTCTAATGTGCGCCACAATATACTAGTCACACACACGTGGTGATTTTTTGGTGAATAAATTAAAGTTGATAGTGGCAGAGGCATTCATTTGTTTGTTATAAGTATCTGCTCAAAACAACAATGGCAATGAATTAATGGGATGAAGGCGGCTGAAAATATTCCCTCCTAAATTATTGCTTAATAAATTTCAATGAGCGTTATGGTGCTGGCGATAATTTACTCTATAATGAAATTGTTTGTTAATGGATGTGATAAGGAGGAAACTACCATGATCATCTGTACTAAGATAACTGTGATAATTTTAAGATAATTTAATAATAATCCTTACTTAAGAAACTATCAAGATCTTTCATTAAAAAACTACGATACTACGATAATTATTACTTTACTTAATTAAAATGATAAACTTTACTTACAAATTAGTATCATCTCTACTTAATAATGATAATACTTACATCAAAAAAATATTGATAACATTTCCTTAACATTAACATTGATATCATAAACACAAACATAAATAAGGTTAAAAATGTTAATAAATATTTACTTAAACACCCGCGACCTCATCATCGTGCCCATCAACCAGGTTATTATGTTATGAAAGCTTAAAGAACGATATACATAAGGTGATAACACGACCGTGGTGACCCATTCTTAACCCTAGGTATCTGTCGTCAGGATGGGATGGGATAGGTTAGGTTAGGTTAGGTTAGGTTAGGTTAGGTTAGGTTATGTTATGTTAGGTTAGGTTAGCTATGGTGCGTGAGTTAATTGGGTTCCTATGACAAATCGATGGTCATACTAAGGACTCTAGGTCATACTAATGGTATAGAAACACACACAGGATGTCAACCACACACTACCATACTAGCTCTTCAGTAAGGATGTGGACCACCCTAGTTGGCAACACTCCTATGCACCAACACGAGAAATTTTCAATATTTACTTACGCTAAGACTTAATTAATATAAAAATTCAATAACCAAGAAAGTGAAAGACGTAAACTACTCCATGTTAAAAGGTACAATTCGTTTATATTTGTCTAGAGCCAATAACAGTTCTGTATTATTAATCAGTATTCTGTAAGTTATTTCTCTTCACATTAATTATTCCAAATACCACTTTAACAACTGTCAAACATTGAAGATCATATTAAAAGTTATGTCATGTGTTCTAATAATTCTGTAACTTATTCACAACATTACTAAGTTGTTTCTGAAACCTGAATAACTAACTTAGAATACATGTTTTTTCTGTTTAGGTTAGGTTAGGTTAGGTTAGGTTAGGGTAGGTTAGGTTAGGTTTCCAGACGTCGCGAGAGATCCTTTACCCCAAGAACACTGTTGACAGATGGTAGTGTGGTAGTGAGGGAAACACGATTAAGATAATAGAACTCTTTATTCCTAACGATGATAATGGCGAACTCGTCTACTCGCGTCCTATCAAACTCCCCAATCTTCCCCTAAAAAAATGTCTCTTGTAACTAAATCAAACACAGGTCCCTCATTAAGACCCATTCTCCTCCTCTACACAGGTGGGTTGGCTGAAGGTGGACTCCCAGACCATCCTGAGCCTACAGAAGAGGGTGGTGACGCATAACTCCCGCATCTCCGTCACCCATGATGAGCACCGCACCTGGAACCTTCACATCCGCCAGGTGCAGGAGACTGACAAAGGCTGCTACATGTGTCAGATCAACACCCCCGTCATGAAGAACCAAGTCGGCTGTATCAAGGTTCATGGTGAGTGCCACAAAGGGTCATGGTGTCACAAAGGGTCATGGTGCCACAAAGGGTCATGGTGCCACAAAGGGTCATGGTGCCACAAAGGGTCATGGTGCCACAAAGGGTCATGGTGCCACAAAGGGTCATGGTGCCACAAAGGGTCATGGTGCCACAAAGGATCATGGTGCCACAGAGGGCCATGGTGCCACAAAAGGTCATGATGCCACAAAAGGGTCATGGTGTCACAAAGAGGTCATGGTGCCTCAAGGGTCATGTGGTTCACAAAAGATCATGATACCACAAAAGTCATGGTGCCACAAGGGTCATGGTGCCACAAAGGGTCATGATACCACAAGGATCATGGTGTCACAAAGGGTCATGGTGCCACAAAGGATCCTTAATAGCAATTGTCACAAAGGGTCATGGTGCCACAAAGGGTCATGGTGCCACAAGGATCATGGTGCCACAAAGAGACCATGATGCCACAAAGGGTCGCTAATGGTGCCACAAAGGTCATGGTGCCACAAGGATCATGTGTAGTGTCACAAAGGGTCATGGTGCCACAAAAGGATCATGGTGTCACAAAGAAGGGTCATGGTGCCACAAAGGGTCATGGTGCCACAAAGGATCATGGTGCCACAAAGGGTATGGTGCCACAAGGGTCATGGTGCCACAAAGGGTCGCTAGTTGCCACAAGGGTCATGGTGCCACAAAGGGGTCATGAATTGCCACAAAGGATCATGGTGTCACAAAGAGGTCATGGTACCACAAAGGGTGTAGTGTCACAAGGGGTCATGTGTGCCACAAAGGGGCCATAAATTTCAAGGATCATGAATTGCCTACAAAGGGTCATAGTGCCACAAAGGGTCATGAATTGCCACAAAAGACCATGGTGCCACAAGGATCATGATACCACAAAAGGGTCATGAATTGCCACAAGGTCATGTGTCACAAGGGGTCATGGTGCCTATAAAGGGTCATGGTGCCACAAAGGATCATGATGCTACAAGGGTCATGTGGTGCCACAAAGGTCATGGTGTCACAAAGGGTCATGGTGCCACAAGGGTCATGGTGTCACAAGGTCATGATGCCACAAGGATCATGGTACTAAGGTCCATGGTGCCTGAGAGATCACCCGTGCTAAAAGGTCATGATGCCACAAAAGATCATGAATTACCATAATGACAGAAAGTGATGAGTGATGATGAGTGCGGGAATTTTAGAATCATGGGGGTGCCAAGGCGATGCTAGGAATGAGGGCCACCACGGTTAATATAGCATGATTAAAGTGCCAACGATTATGACTCCTGGAGTAGTGTCACAACGGGAGCCAGAGCTCAAAAGAGGGGTGAAAGGTTACAGTATAAGTAACAGAAAGGGCCAGAGGTGAATACAATACCCGGGGATCAGGCGTTATATATTGGGTCAGAGGTCACAGGAAGGATCAGGGGTCAGAGGTCGCAAGAAGGGTCAAGGTGTCAGGGGTCATAAGAGAGTCAAGAATCAGGGTAATGGAACCATAAAGAGGGTGCCCAATAAGGTGGCAAAAGTAAAATAAAAAATAAAGCAAACGGTCCAGAGGTTTATAGGCGCAGTGGTAATAATCCGAGATGGCTCAGAGAGTGCCAGGGTGTATACAGGTGTGGTTATTTTCAGAAAGTGCCAGGGTAGTATCATAATTGAAGGTTCCATTATTGTTGAGGTGGTGGTGGGTGACACTCAGGGGTCAGTGTTATATTGTCTCATGAGGGAGTCAGGTGACGGTGCAGGGGCTGTCGGTATGGTGGGGGGTGAGTGAGGGGTGGTGAGGGGTGAGTGAGGGGGTGAGTGTGAGGGGTGGTGAGGGGTGAGTGAGGGGTGGTGAGGGGTGGTGAGGGAGTAGTGAGGGAGTAGTGAGGGGGTGGTGAGGGTAGTGAGGGTAGTGAGGGGTGGACAGGGTGCACTGGGGAATAACTTGCAAGAAGTAGTAAAAGGGTGCCAATAGGAATAGATAGACCCTAGCAAAAGATAGGGGGGTGCCAAGACGAGGGAGGGAGGAGGAGGTCAGAGGGAACGAGATGCCGGAGGAGGTAGGAACATTAAAATAAAGGGGAGAAGAGATTAAAAAAAAGGGAGGAATGAAGGGGTAGGAGGTGGTGAGGGTAATTATAAAGGGAGGAGGAGGATAAACGCAATAAAGATGAGGAGAGGGAGGAGCAAGAGGGAGATATTATGGCAACAGCAGTGTTAAAACAATGCAAAGGATTTTTTAGTTGGCATCATGTTACCATTAATATTGTTGCTCTCTCTCTCTCTCTCTCTCTCTCTCTCTCTCTCTCTCTCTCTCACAATCTCTGTTCCTTTCACCTCTCTCCTTTGCAATCTCTCTGCTTGCTTCTATGTGCCTCTCTCTCCTTTCTTTCTTCCTTTCTTTAATTCTCTCCCTCTTCCTCTCTATATCTCTCCCCTATCAGTCTTTATTACATCTGCATTCAACCTGATTCTCTCTCTCTCTCTCTCTCTCTCTCTCTCTCTCTCTCTCTCTCTCTCTCTCTCTCTCTCTCTCTCTCTCTCTCAATTCATCCTTGTTTCTGTCTGATTCTGCTTCAGTTTCGCTCTCTTGTATGTATGTGTGATGTGTGTATGTATGTATGTATGTATGTATGTATGTATGTATGTATGTATGTATGTATGTATTAGTTACGTATAAGGAATACAAAAATAATACCAATTAATTTTACTCCTTTTCTATTCCTTCCCTTTTCTTCCCGTTCCATCTCAATCGTCCCCATTTCCCTCTCCCCCTTTTTAATCTCGTCCTCTCTCTCCTTTCTCTCTCTTCCTCTCTCCTCCACCTACTCTTCCTCATCTCTCTTCTCCACCTCCTCCTCATCTGCCCATTCTTCCTAACCCTTCTCCTCCTCCCACAGCCTTCTGATTCTCTTCGCCTTTACCCACCTCCTCCTCTTCCTAGCCACCTCCTCCTCCTCCTAACCCCTCCTCACCATTCTCTTAATCCTCCTCCTCCTCTAACCTCTTCTTCCTTACTCTTCCCCTCTCCTAACCCTCCTCCTCTTCTTCTCATTCCTCCCCCTCCTCATCCTCCTCCTCCTATCCCTCCCACCCCTCCTCTTATCCTTCCACTTCTTCTTAACCCTCCACCTCTTCCTAACCCCCTCCCCTCCGACCCTCCTCCCGCTCCTCCCGACCCTCCTCCCGCTCCTCCTGACCCTCCTCCCGCTCCACAGTGCCCCCGGACATCATCAACGACTACACCTCCTCCGACACGACCATCAACGAGGGTGACAGCGTCCACCTGAGCTGTGTGGCGGAGGGCTTCCCTGTCGGGAGATCAGGTGGAAGAGGAGGACGATCGGAAACATCACTTATCAAGTCTTCCCGGTAGAGACGGCTCCAAGAGTGATATTGTGTCTCCAAAGAGTGAAGTATTGTGTCTCCAAGAGTGGTATTGTGTCTCAAGTGAGTATTGTGTCTCCAAGAGTGAGTATTGTGTCTCCAAAAATTGGTATTGTGTCTCCAGAGTGAGTATCAGTGGCGCGTTGCACCTTCAGAAGGTGAGTATTATTGTGTCTCCAAGAGTGAGTATTGTGTCTCAAGGGTGAGTATTTGTGTCTCAAAGAGTGAGTATTGTGTCTCAAGAGTGAATATCATGTCTCCAAATGTAAATATCAACCTCAGAGTGAGTATTGTGTCTCAAAGGTGAGTATTGTGTCTCCAAGGGTGAGTATTGTGTCTCAAGAGTGAGTATTGTGTCTCCAAAGGTGAGTGTGTGTCTCAGGGTGAGTATTGTGTCTCAAGGTGGTATTGTCTCAAGAGTAGGTATTGTGTCTCCAAAGGTGGCTGTGTCTCAAGGTAGTATTGTGTGTCTCTCCAAGAGTGAGTATTGTGTCTCAAGGGTGAGTGTGTGTCTCAAGAGTGAGTATTGTGTCTCCAGAGTGAATATCATGTCTCCAAATGTAAATATCAACCTCCAAAAGGTAGGTATTGTGTCTCCAAGAGTGAGTATTGTGTCTCAAGGGTGAGTATTTGTGTCTCAAGAGTGGTATTTGTGTCTCAAGGGTGAGTGTTGTATACTCAAAGAGTGGTATTTATTGTCTCCAAAAGGTGAGTATCAGTGGCGCGTTGCACCTTCAGGAGTGAGTATTGTGTCTCAAGGTGAGTATTGTCTCAAGGGTGAGTATTGTGTCTCAAGAGTGGTATTGTGTCTCCAGAGTGAGTATCAGTGGCGCATTTGCACCTTCAGGAGTGAGAGTATTGTGTCTTTCCAGAGTGGTATTGTGTCTCCAAGAGTGAGTATTGTGTCTCCAAGAGTGAGTATTGTGTCTCAAGAGTGAGTATTGTGTCTCCAAGAGTGAGTATTGTGTCTCCAAGAGTGAGTATTGTGTCTCCAAGGGTGAGTATTGTGTCTCCAGAGTGAGTATCAGTGGCGCGTTGCACCTTCAGAGGTGAGTATTGTGTCTCCAGAGTGCAGTATTGTGTCTCAAGGGTGAAAGTATTGTGTCTCCAAGAGTGAGTATTGTGTCTCCAAGAGTGATGTGTGTCTCAAAGAGTGAGTATCGTGTCTCCAAGAATGAATATCATGTCTCCAAATGTAAATATCCAACCTCCAGGAGTGAGTATTTACACCAGGTCGCCTCCAACATGGGTTAACTTAATTAATACACTTGGGCGATAAGCTTCAAAGACTATCTATTTTTGGAGGGCTGTGAGGTGCACTCGGGCGTGACCAGCTCCACCGATAGGCCCCTCGGAGTGAGAGGCGGGAGTTATCAGGAGTGGGTATTACAGGTCTGAATACTCCAAAACCGGAATATTACAGGCTTCAATACTCCCAAACCGGATATTACAGGCTTCAGCACTCCCAAACCGAATATTACAGGCTTCAATATTCCCAAGCCCGAATATTACAAGCTTCAATATTCCAACCCGAATACAAGCTTCAATACTCCCAAACCTAAATATTACAGGCTTCCAATACTCCAAGAGGGATTATGGAATACAGGGAAGACTTTAGCAGTGAAGATTATCGGCGAGTATTTTTATTTAAGAGGATATGATATATAAAGAGTGAATATTACAGATTTGAATACTCCAAAAGGGGAATATCGTAGATTATAAAATATTCCATGATTGAGTATTGTAGAACAGGAAGACCAACACGCATACATTCACTTCAACGACGTCTTGTGGAAAAGATGGGAAAGATGATGATGATGATGGGTGAGGAGATGGGAGACGCGTAATATGGGAGGGGGAAAATGGGATGGGAGGATGTGTGTAGTATATTGGAAAGAAGAGAGAGAGAGAGAGAGAGAGAAGAGAGAGAGAAGAGAGAGAGAGAGAGAGAGAGAGAGAGAGAGAGAGAGAGAGAGAGAGAGAGAAGAGAGAGAGAGAGAGAGAGAGAGAGAGAGAGAGATCGGTAAAAAATGGAAGAGGAACAATGGAAGGGCAAAAACGTAAAGGGAAAATATGGAATGGGTAAATGAATAAGTTGATATATTACGAGAAAGACCCAAGAAAGGGTAGGTAAAGAAATGGAAAGAGGAAATGTAGAAAAAGACAAAAATAATGAACCTCAATGGAAGGGGAGATGTAATAAAGAGGAAGAATTGAAGTAATGAACTCATGAAACAGATGAAGCTGGATGGAAGAGGAAAAACCTGAATAGACTTCAAAGAGACAAAATGTGGATGGGATGGGAGGGATAGAATGGGAGGAATGGGAGAGGAGGAATCCCCGCGTTCCCATCTCGGAAAATATATAAGGAAAGGAAGGAAGATACTCCAAGATTTGTAGGGCAGCGTACAATGTTGGCCGGGGTGAACTGTGGAGGGTCTTTTGGAGGTGGGTGGAAGTTCTGCAGGCTTTTGGAGGTTTAGGAGGGCTATCGAAGGTCTTAAGAAGATTTGAAGGGGAAAACTCTGAGGGGAACGGGTCTGTTTTGGAGGTCTGCAGAGGGTGTGGGAGGGACTGTAGGTTAGAAGAGGCTATGGCGGGTGTTGGAAATCTTGGAGGAGAATTGTGAAGGGCTGAAAGAAGTTGGAGGTAGTTTGTAAACGCATGGGAGTTTTGAAGGGCATTGGCAGTGTTAGAGGTGAGGATGGGAGGAGTGTGGGGATGAGAGTTTCCTTGGAGTGTGACAGAGTGTGTTGGAGGGTGCGAGAGAGCCTTAAGAAATAATGGCATGGAGTGGGTTTTGAGTGCGTTGGAGGTCTCAGAAGGTTGGAGGAGTGTGTTATTGATCGTAATAATATTTCAAACTCTTCCACATTTCATAATCAAACACATCTCCCGTACTTATACTCTCCTTACACATAGTGATAAGGAAACAGCATCCCTCCCCTAGAGAAAACGAGATGTAATATAAACCTTTGCTAAGAGATATTTTACAGTAGTACCCCTTTATGGATAGAAAATGGAATGCATTAACCCCTTTACTATCAAATAATGGTAAAATTACTCATGGTTAATAGACTATAAATGAACAATACCTATATTTAACAAAAAAAAAATGTATAAGTTACCCCTATGTTATTTACAGAAAACGAATTGTAGTTTCCCCCTCTCACACATAGAAAATGGGAAACGGTACCCCTATATAAATCAACAGAAAACGAGAAGCGGTATCCCCACCTTATTCAATAAAAAAAAAAACCTGCAGCCATCACGGCCATTCACACAAATATTTACAAAACACATAATCTGATAATCCACTTTGCGCTTTTACAGCCTCACAATGTACAGTCGGTGTTGTATGTAACGTATGCATAACCCCATCACCATGTCCCCATAACTCTGATGATTTTGTCCCTCCATAGTCCCCCATGAAGTTTTTTCCTCCCTAACCCCATGATTTTACCTCCTATAAACCCATGATTTTGTTGTCTATACCCCCATGATTTTGTTGCCTATAAACCCATGATTTTGTCTCCTATACCCCCATGATTTTGTTGCCTATAGACTCATGATTTTGTCGCCTATAACCTCATGATTTTGTTGCCTATAAACCACTGATTTTGTCCCCCATAATCCCAATAATATAATTGTCTCCATAACAACTTTTAATTGGCCATATACCAACATAATTTTCTCTTATGTCTTTGTCCCCATAAACCCATGACATTGCCTCCATCATGCCGCATACGAGCCTCTTCAACCCCCATCTCCCCCAAATCCCCCACAACCTCCCCAAATCTCCCCCAAAATCCCTCACAACCTCCCAAAATCCATGTATCTCCCCATATCTTCTCCCCCATAACCCCATATATCTCTCACCAGCACTGGAGTCAGTACACGGGACCAACTTAACCTTGGAGAACGTGTCGAGGAACCAGATGGGCGCCTACCTGTGTATCGCCAGCAACAAGGTCCCTCCCTCCGTCAGCAAGAGAATTATTGTCAACGTGAACTGTGAGTTGTTGTGTGTGTGTGTGTGTGTGTGTGTGTGTGTGTGTGTGTGTGTGTGTGTGTGTGTGTGTGTGTGTGTGTGTGTTGGTACAGTACTCATACATAAACAATAGTAAATAACACGTGCGACAAAAAAAATTAAATAAAAAAATACTTTGATAAAAACAGAGGGCGTTAATTATATGCCCTACAAACTACCTAATTGGATAACTGCCGAGAGATAACAAACTATGTGCATAATTACCTTGTATGATTCAGTATAATTACCTTGTATGATTCGGAAACATGTATATAGTGTTGTATAATTTAGTAAGTCGAATTATATTTTGACTTCAAATATCTGTCCCGCGGCCCACTAACACCTGTCTCTTCCCCATTCACACCTGTCTCTCCTCCACTAACACCTGTCTCTACTTCACCAACACCTGTCTCTCCTTCACCAACACCTGTCTCTCCCCCCCCAACACCTGTCTCTCCCCCACCAACACCTGTCTCTCACTCCCACCAACACACCTGTCTCTCCCCCACTAACACCTGTCTCTCCCCCACCAACACCTGTCTCTACCCCACTAACACCTGTCTCTCCCCCACTAACACCTGTCTCTCCCCACAGTCTCCCCGGTGGTAAAGGCAGACAACCAGCTGATCGGATCTCCTCTCAGCACTGATGTAGAGATACAGTGCCACGTGGAGGCTTTCCCCAAGGCTGTCAACTACTGGGAGAGAGATAACGGAGAGATAATACTCAACGGGTGAGTCTCAACGGGGAAAGAGAAGTGGGTAAGGGAGGTCAGAGGATAAGGGAAAAGGGGGATTAGGAATTAAAGGAGTAAGGGCTAGAGGGGAGTTTTAAGGGTTAACAAGGGGGTAATAGTTTAAAGAGATAATGGGGAATAAGAGGTGAAGACGGTAAGGGGTTAAGGGGTAAGGCTTGAAGGGGAAGAGGGATTTTTAAGGGGTAAGGGGTAAGGGTGAAAGAGGCAAGGTTTAAGAGGGGAAAGAGTTTTTTAAGGGCCAGTAAGAATTTCTAAAAGATAAGGGGAAAGGGTTAAAGGGGTAAAATATAAGAGCATAAGACTCTACAGTAATTTGTTCGTATTAAGGGAAAAGTTAAGTGCACTTGTCATTTGTGTTTTGAAATTCGGACTAAAAAAAAAATGATAATCACCGTTATGCTCGTTGAGTGGGACTGAGCGTGGCGATATTATGCTCATTGAGTGGGACCGAGCGTGGCGATATTATGCTCGTTGAGTGGGACCGTGCATGGCGATATTATGCTAGTTGAGTGGGACCGTGCATGGCGATATTATGCTAGTTGAGTGGGACCGAGCGTGGCGATATTATGCTCGTTGAGTGGGACCGACCGTGGCGATATTATGCTCGTTGAGTGGGACCGAGCGTGGCGATATTATGCTCGTTGAGTGGGACCGTGCATGGCGATATTATGCTCGTTGAGTGGGAATGGGGGAAATTAAGACCGTAGGGAAGGACTGTGCGAGGTGAAATTATCCTTATTGAGTGGAATGGGCAGAAAAATACGTGAGTAAGGAGATGTACTGAGTGACTTGGGTGATATAATGCATGTTGAGTGGGACGGGTAAAATTATACACCCCGAGTGGGATTACCAGAGGCAAAATAAATATCACTGTGTAGAGGTAAAATTATATAGGAATAGTGTGTAAAAATTATTCTCATTGAGTGGGAGTGGCGGAGGAGTTATGCTTGCTGACTGTAGTGGGACATGGGTGAATTATGCATATTGAGTGGCGTAGGCGGTGGGAAAATTATCCACCCGAGTAAAATTATGCTCTCTGATTGGGACAGGGAAAAATAGTTATGCTCCTTGGCTGAGGTGACAGATGAAATTATGCTCCCGGAGGAAAAAAAAAAAATATCCCTGGTGAGCCGAGTGCAGAAACGAGGTATGGCATTGAGTGTAGTGGCCGGGAACGAAAACATGCTTGGTGAGTGGCCTGGTGGAAATACGCTTTCGTTAGTGGAGTGGATGTGAGGAAAATATGTAAAGGTGCGTTAGCCAGCCTCGTTACAGGGTGCTTTGGCGGGACAGATTGGCTGGGGGTGTGGGTGAGGGCACCGATGAGGCACCCATCAGTGTTATCCCGCCACCTGCTCCACACCCACCCCGCCCCGCCCCGCCACTTTGCCCCCTCCAAACTACAACAGGCATCGTGAATCAAACTCCCCATCTTCAGGTCCAAGCTAAATTGATTTTTGCTGTTTGTTTGTGTTTTTTAAAGGTTGATGTTGTGTGTTTGTTTGTTTACTTTTATTTGTTTTTTTTTATCGTTTTGTTTTTCTTAGAATAAACTAAAAAGTTTATAGTCTTTTTCGGAATAATGATGCTGATTTCTGGTGTTTGTGTGTGTGTGCAGTGTGTGTGTGTGTGTGTGTGCGTGCGTGTGTGTGTGTGTGTGTGTGTGTGTGTGTGTGTGTGTGTGCGTGTGTGTTTCCCTGGCTTCGTGGATCTGATATTTGTCTTTTCACATTTCAAATGTGTATTTTTACTTGACGTGTGGAGACGATTAAGTGTTTTAGGTTATTAAAAAAATACTCGGGTTTTACATTTGAGTTTGTTCATTTTTTTAAAGCTCAGGGAATTTTTTTTTTTTTTTTTTACATCTTGTGATTTATCTCATTTTTACTTATTTTTTGTTGAATATTTTTTCTTGTACTTCCTCCAATTTATTTTCTTGTTCGCGTTTCCATGTTAAAAGGACCATCCATCACATACACTACCATATAATGGTTGTCCCTCGTGTGACGAAGATGGGCTGTCGCCAACACAACAACCACACCCTGAGTTAACGAGCTGCATGACCCAGTGTCTAGGAACAGTCAGAGGAGGCCGGACAACTCACCAACTGCACTGGCTAACCATTACCCCGGAACATCCAAGGTCCCCAATTACTGCTGGGTAGACCTCCCATACACAGTATCATACACCTCATAGACACTACCATACAGACCACCATACCTCCCATACACACTACCATACCTCCCCACACCCTACCATACAGACCACCATACCTCCCATACACACTACCATACCTCCCCACACCCTACCATACATGCCACCATACCTCCCATACACACTACCATACCTCCCCACACCCTACCACACAGACCACCATACCTCCCCACACACTACCACCCCACACCACTACCACCCATCTCCCACACCCTACATACACCCATACCTCCCATACACACTACCATACCTCCCCACACCCTACCATACAGACCACCATACCTCCCATACACACTACCATAACTCCCCACACCCTACCATACAGACCACCATACCTCCCACACACACTACCATACCTCCCCACACCCTACCATACATGCCACCATACCTCCCATACACACTACCATACCTCCCACCCTACCAACATGCCACCATACCTCCCACACACCTACCATACAGACCACCATACCTCCCCATACACTACCATACCTCCCCACCCTACCATACATGCCACCATAACTCAAACCAGCCTACACACTGTCCCACTAATTAGCTAAGCAACGTGAACTATGGCTAGGGGAAGGGTCAAGGCTAGGGGGGGAGGGTCAGGGGTAGGGAAAGGGAGGGGAAAGGGACGGGAGAGGGGGGAAAAGTAATGGGAGAGAGATGACATGGGGAAAAGGGTAGAGATAGGTGGTGGAGGGTAAAGGGAAGGGGAGACAGAATGCAGTTGGAGGGGGAGGGAAGGAAGCGTAAATGGAGAGGGAATGGAGGAAAGAGGAAAAGGGATAAGTGAATGGGGAGGAAGGAGGAAAGCAAGGGAAGAAGAGGGGAGGGGAGAGATAAAAAGGGAGGAGGGGAAGGAAGGTAGGGGGAGGGAGAGCAGGAGAGGAGCGAGATGTGAGGGGGGGGAGAGATTGCCCAAGAGCAGAGGAGAGGAAAGGGAGAGGATTGGGAGGGAAGGCGCAGCTGTTACACTGAAACCTAATTAAAATGGTAAGATTTGTCTTCCGGTCTTGTAACAGCCATTGCTATTGGTTCTCATTATTCTTTGCCTTGTAAGGCCCGGTATGATTGGTTCTCAATATTCTTTGGTTTGTAATGGCTGCTGTGATTGGTTCTTAAATTTTCCGCTCTTTTATAAGAGCCTTTGTAATTGGTTCCTCCTGCTTGTTGGTTTGTAAGAGCCACTGTGATTGGTTATCGTTTCTTTACTGAACTAATACAGAAGAGGAAGTTAACTTACAAAATGCCTTAAGCTTACTTGTATACTAACATAGTCACGGACTTTAAACGTCACACACACACACACACACACACACACACACACACACACACACACACACACACACACACACACACACACACACACACACACACCTACCCTCTAACATCCCTCGCTCCCTACAACAATCTCACACCCCTAGCAACACAATCTAACACTCACTAAGTGTCCTCCACCAGCCTCCCTAGTGGGAATACACCCCACACACCCCTATCATCCTACACCCAACCCTCACTCTTCCCAGAATCCCCCCTCACACACTCTCCTTCACCCTCCACATAAATGACCGGCCCCGGCTGTCTGCCTGCCTGGCCAGTAGTGATAAACCGGAATTAGTGGGCTGATTAAGAATTATGAACCTTCCCGGGGCCCTGAAATACGACTTCATAACCAGTGTGGCAGAGAAGGTGATTTGTCCCGGAGTCTTTCATCTCAGGGCTCTCGGCTTTATCAGGGAGGGAATGATGCCCAGTTTTAGTTATTGTTTAGTTAAGATTTGAAGGCTGGTAGGTAGGTGGGTGGGTGGGTGGGTGGGTGGTGAGGGCGGGCGGGTGGGTGGTGAGGGCGGGCGGGTGTGTTTATCAGTGTGTTTTACTTTAGGATGAGGAGAGGGGAATGTGAGGGTTTT